GAGTCGGAGTCTCTGTCACCCAGGCTGGAGTGCAGTGGCATGCTCCTGGCCACCATGGCCTCGACCTGCTGGGCTCAGGTGGTCCTTCCACCTCAGTCTTCCAAGTAGCCGGAACTACAGGCACGTACTACATGCCCAGTTAATTTTTTTTGACATATTGTAGAGAGAAGGTCTCACCAAGTTGCCCAGGCTGGTCTTGAACCCCTGAGCTCAGGCAATCCTCTCGTCTCTGCCTCCCAAAGTGCTGGGATTGCAGGCGTGAGCCACTGCGCCCGGCCGAAAGGAGCACTTTTGTCTAGTATGTTTTTGTAAATGTAAAATCTGTCTGGCATGTATCATTTTTTTTCAAGCCTTATTTTCTTTTTATACACAAAGATGATGGTATGCTCACATATATTAGTACAAACAAAAGGACTGAATATATTTAAACTGGTGAGCCTTCTCAAAAAAATAAAATTGATTGAATATTGTGTGTGAATTTGGTAAAATTAACATAATTTTTTTTTAGTTGGAGTCTCACTCTGTCACCCAGGCTGGAGTGCAGTGGCATGCTCACAGCCACTGCAGCCTTGACCTGCTGGACTCAACCTTCCAAGTAGGTGATACCACAGGTGTGAGCCACCATGCCCAGCTAATTTTGTGGGTTTTTTTTTTTTTTTTGAGTTGGAGTCTCACTCTGTCACCCAGACTGGAGTGCAGTAGCTGCTCCCGACCACTGCAACCTTGACCTGCTGGACTCCGGCAATCCTTCCGCCTCAGCCTTCCAAGTAGCTGGAATTACAGGGCATGTGCTACCATGCCCGGCTGATTTTTTGATTTATTGTAGAGATGAGGTCTCACCAAGTTGCCCAGGCGGGGCTCGAACCCACGGGCTCAGGCAATCCACTCACCTCAGCCTCCCAAAGGCGCGGGATTACAGGCTGAGCCACCGAGCCCGGCTAACATAAATTTAAGATGTAGTGATTTTTTTTTTTTTTTGAGTTGGAGTCTCTATTGCCCAGGCTAGAGTGCAGTGGCACACTCACGGCCACCGCAGTCTCGACCTGCTAGACTCGGGTGATCTGTCCAACTCAAACCTTCCAAGTAGCTGGAACTACAGGCATGTGCTACCATATGTGGCTAATTTTTTGATTTATTGTAGAGACGTGGTCTTGCCAAGTTGCCCAGACTAGTCTCGAATCCCTGGGCTCAGGCAGTCCTCTTGTTTCTGCCTCCCAAAGTACTGGGATTACAGGCTTGAGCCACTGCGCCCAGCCGCAGTGATTTAAGCCTTAAATAGGATGTCTTCACAGGAGATGGGATATTACAAAATCGTTTGTCTCAACCATTTTTATCTTCCTACACATTCCCTGGACCAATGCTTCTTTTTGTTGTTATTGTCTGTTTTCCAGGTTGGAGTGCGGTGGCATGGTAATCACAGCTCACCACAGCCCTAACCTTTTGGGCTCAGGCAATCCTTCTGCCTCAGCCTTCTGAGTAGCTGGAACTACTCGCATGCACCACCACATCTGGCTCATTTTTAAATGTTTTGTAGAGATGATGTCTCTCCAAGTTGTTTAGGCTGGTCTCAAATTCCTGGGTTCAAGCAATCCTCCTGCCTTGACTTCCCAAAGTGTCGGGATTACAGGTATGAGCCACTGTGCCTGGCCAGTGCTTCTTAAACTTTTTTCAACATACAAGTCACCTGGGGATCTTGTTAAGCTACAGATTCAGCAAGTCTGAGGTGAGACCAGAGATCCCACATTTAAAGTAAGCCCCTAAACCGGGCTCGGTGGCTCAGCCTGTAATCCTGTGCCTTTGGGAGGCTGAAGTGTGTGGATTGCCTGAGCCCACAGGTTCGAGTCCCGCCTGAGCAACTTGGCGA